CTGGAGCAAATTCAGCTCCTATAATTTTTCTTGGACGAAGTGTTATGGAGATCAAAGTGTTCTACCATCATCAACACGCTGTCAACAACCACAAGGGAAGTGTCTTTGCAAAACCTGTTTATCTAATCATTTCTGGCCAGTTAATGTTAGGTAGATATTGGGCGAACCGGTTAGAATACAAACAATCGACTCAACCCAGGTAATTAAGCCTTGGTCCATATTATCTAATATACAGTGTTTTCTCTGATATAGCTGTCATATATTAGGATTCCGGCTTTACAGCTAGTGCCTTTTGACAGGAACAAGAAGAGGAAGCATGACTTGGTATATCGGTTACTAGGGTGATGGAAGCTAGCCTCACACAAGGATAATTTGGTGTCTACATCCTAGTTATACCTGGTGGTCTAAGCCTGCTGTACAATAAGATAAGGAACCTCCTCAATGTATACTAATATATGTAGTTTAATACTGTAGTTTGAGTGACTGCATATATATAAATTTAATATAAACCCCCCTAATGTGTAGGGATTGATTTGTGAGATTATTGCAGAAATACAGTCGACTTAACATCATACAAATTGCTATCGAAATATATAAATTAACGTAAATATAAATTCCATATAAATTCATATAAATTAAATATATATAAATCTCACAAGGCAGTCCCCACACTACTATTTTTTTCCCTCCACCCCCCCCCCCCCCCCTCCAGGAAGCAGCTTGAAGCAGCTGTCTAACTCCCAGGTACCTATTTACTGCTAGATGAACAGGTACATCAGGGTAAAGGAAACTCTACTCATCTGTCTCCGCCGGGTGCGGGGATCAAACCCCGGTCCCTAGGTCCACTAGTCTAGAGCGCTGTCCACTCGGCCACCCAGCCCTTTAGTGTGTTAGTATTAGTGTTAGTGAGTACAGAGTTCTAAGCCTACTGGGGGATCACGAGCCAGAGTCTTGCCCCCCCCCCCTCAGAGAGGTACGAGGAGCAATGGTCTATAGAAATGCACATGTGATTTGGAGCATTCTATATCTCCCATCAATTGGAACAGGCACCCAGAAAGGTAAGCGCCTCAAAACAAACCCCCCCCCCTATTCTGGTTAAAACGACGAAAATAGACAAATGAGTGGACACAACTCCCCAAATGAAAATGCAAAGACTCGAGGAGAAAATCGAACCAGTCTCACAAGGGACAGGACCGATCTGCTAAAAGAGGCGGAGTCGCAGGAAAACCTCCGGGTTCGGACCCTGTGCAAGCAGCGCCTGAAACCAAGACTGGGCTGGTCACCATGGCGCCAGAAGGACTACTCTCCTCCTGGTAAATCTCCAAGTAAGCCAGGACCTGGAGCAACAGCTGAATTGGGGAAGAGAGGTACAGGAACCCCCACCTCGACCAGTCATGCTGAAAGGCATCGACCCTGACGGCCTCACAGTCGGGGAAGGGCGCCAAATATTCTGGAAGACACCTCGACCATGCCGACGTGAAGAGGTCCACCTCCGGGCGCCCGAACGTCTGGCAGAGCCAACTGAACAAGTCGGCGTCAATCGTCCATTCCATGGACAGGTAAATGAACCGGGACAGGCCATCCGCCAGGATGTTTGACACCCCCAGACGTGAACCGCCAGGAGAGCCAAACCCTGAGAACTCAGCAGACAAGTCACCCGAAGCGACCAACCCCAAAGAGCCAAGGACCGCATTGAAACCCCTTCGGTTTAGACAATGAACCACCAGGGAGCAGTCCAAATGGAGCCTGATCGTTGATGCGCGGGCGACCCAAACCCTCCAAAGTGCAGACTACACCGACGCAAGGCCCCCAGAGGTCGAACCCAGCGATTGCGAGAGAGGCGGAAGGGACGTCCCCGAAGAAACCAGAACAGTCGACGAAGCCGAACCCGACCTGGCGGGTAGAGCAGTATCGGAAAGTTCAGGCTCCCGCACAAACCCTCGAGCAACTGCAGGGTGACCCAGGAACCCCCCTGAAACCGGCACTTGCAGGACTGCAGTCAAAGGAATGACTCCGGAGGAAGAGACCAGGAAGCAGACTGAGAGTCCCACACAAGACCCAGCCAGGTCTGAACCTGGGAGGGAACCAGATGGGACTTCCGCCAGTTAACCAGCAACCTGAACTCATCTAGCTGCGAAAGAACCAGATCCCTGGCGAGCAGACATACGGACCGACTGGGAGCCCAGACCAGCCAGACATCGAGGTAGGCCACCATCCGAACACCTAAGAGAACCAGACGGACTACAACGACCCAAGTCGCGAGGAGCCAGGTTCAACCCGAATGGGAGACAATGAAAGCGGTAACTGTGAAGCCCCAAAACAAAACTGAGCCAGTCCCTGAACCCCGGATGAATAGGGACATGCCAATACACGTCCTTGAAGTCCAGGGACACCATCCAAGCGTCCCGCTCCAACAGAAGCCGGACCTGGGACAGCGTGGTCATCTGAAAGGAGGGGCAAGAAACCCAAGGGTTCAGATGAGTCAAGTCCAGAATGAACAGCAGGTCCACATAGTCCTGTTTGGGACCTGATGGTTTGGGATGGGGTTCCTGCCTGGAAACTGGCAGGAAACCCATCTGAGGGACGTTGTCACTTTAACCATGCTCAAGCGCACCCATTCTGAGACGACCCGACAGAGTGCAGGAGAAGAGGCCTGCTCCCTTCAGCCCCAAACCCCCCGAAAAAGGAGGGGCCACTCAACACCACTGCAGGCAGCAGGAAATGACCCAAAACGCCCACAAATTGTGAGACTAGGCATGAGCAAACAGAGCAAGCCACGCCCACATCACCCAGTCAATGGGGCAAACTGCAAAAAGGCCGACACCCCTTATGAGAACCTGACCTGCGCACAGAACGATCTCGGTGCCGACCAGACGCAGACAGCACTGAAAGCAGTTCCGGCCTCGAACCTGGCAGCTGGGGCCCACCTTGATGAGCAGAACCTTGAACCCTGGCACGACCTTGCTGTAAGGAACCCCCCCTCCCCTGGGACCCCCTGAGAACCAACAAGTTGGACATCGGACGATAGCGGGAAGAAGCCACCTGCAGAAACTGCTCCACCCCAGAGTCCCCAAACAGCAAGGGGACAAAAGGTGAAAGACAATCTAAGAGCCAGGGCCCAAGCAGATTCCAAAGAGGAAGCGAGCACAACCTGCTGACATGCGAGACACACAGCAAAATATAGCGACACCACATCCCACAGGATCGGCACAAACAGCTTCAGAAGCACAGATGACGCATGAGCAGTCAAGACCAAGGCACCAGACCTGGGAACAGCCCCAAGCGTCTCAACATCCTCCGTATGCCAATCCAAAGACAGCTCCAGTTAAGAAAGAAATGCAGGGCCAAAGCCAACAGGCCACACCAGGCAGACCCCCACCAGGCAAAACAAAACAAAAACAAGAAAACCCCCCCCACCTCAAAAGCACAAACTCTCCAGGGGAACAGAACCAGACGCTATGCGTATATCAGACAGCTGCACAGTACCCCGCGCCCCAGCCAGCATCGAAACTACCTCCTACCCAAGGGCAAACAGGAGTAAGAACCACCCTAGCAGGCCCCCCTAAGGGCGGGTCATCGAGCAGCAACCGAACCTCATGGAGGTAGTCTCCTGAATGGCTCATGGAAGAGAACCCAAAGCCACAAAGGAAAGGTAGCCCCTAGGTGCATGCAGTCCCAGTACTCTTGTGTTACTCCTGGCTTGCACACCACCAACACAGAACACCACCGCCGCTATGCAGCACTGCTCAGGAGATGGAGCTCGCAGAGTCGATCGAATGCCACCAACACAGCAGCCTTCTGAACTGAGGAGAGTAGCCAGCGTGGAGGTCTGGGGACCCCCCCGTCCCCCTCCAGGGGAAGAGGGGGGTGTCGAATATTTCCGACACCTCAAATACTAACGATTAGATAGAAATATTGTGTTAGGAAATTAAATCTACTAATATTACTAATTCATAGCGTAGGTAAGCCAAAACCTTTCTACTATCCATGGCTGCTGTTACGTCAGCCACTCCACCTTACAAGGTGGAGAATTTTTTATCTAAGTCTAATTAAACCCAATCTAACCTCTGCTTAATTTGCGAGGTAATTCAGATTGGAAATTGATTTAAATAATTTAAAACAAAGTATACCTTCATCTCAAAGCGGAAATTTCCACAGCCGCGATCAGCTGATTCCCGGTTGGTATAAAAGTCACGACACGTATTCCAATTTACGTATACATATGCGTTTTTTAACTATTGACACTTTGGTCCAATAATAATAACAGTGGAAAATTGTATACTGATATTTGAAGTGAATCATTAAGACGTAAAGCGACGTCGGTAATGTGTTGTTAGATAATAGGACGAAGTAGAATCTCGTGACTTATATTCTGGAGCCTTGTGCCGAAAGAGGAGGTAGTGGGCGCGCCAAAAATTGGCTCTCCAAGAACCATAACGGCAATATCCTCGTGAAGCCAACGAATTAGCATCGTGTTAATTTGGGAACTTCCGTGCAATTACGACTCTCAGACGTTGATGCTAGCTTCATCCAATACAGGGGACGTTATGTCCAGTCGGTAAACTACTATCTACAGGTTTTTTTATGGCCATAATAACTTTTAGATTGTCCAGCCGTTAGTATGTATGACCACCAAATAACATGACTAAGTTTAATTCATAGACCAGTTGATCCCTTTCATAGAGTTAGAGTAATTTAAGCTAATCTCCATAGAAGTTATATTGTATATTCTCCACAGCATGGAGGGATACCAACAGGAGCTTGTCACCTCAACTTATTCTTCACGTGTCTATGACACCATCGTGTTGAGACTAGGAATAGACTGATATTGGGAGTCTGTCAGACACACCTCTAATGATTGGCTTGACAGCCTAGCCATTGCTATCACATTTGTTATATTTGTAGTTAGTTACTAACCCTATAACAAATTATTTATTCATAAATGTTTATGTTGAAGATTTCACTATAATTGAACATAAGGTTGATTTACCATTAATAAGTCTTCCTCAAATTTTTTTTTGGAGAAGTGGAAATACCTGACAAATAACCAAAATTAATACAGTCCACTCATACAGTCCATTTATCATCTATTAATACTAAGAAATACTTGTTAGGAATTCCCCACAGGAGGGTTGTGCAGACAGATGCGCGGCGGTTGTGGTGACATCATGCTTGTCTGTTTGTTTTTGATTAGGGAGTTTTGCTTGTTAGATCGGCTTTCGGTTTGCAATTTTTATAGATGGTTTTCTACAAAAAAGTCCTGGTAGATGGCAGACATGGATTGCTTCCAATTACACGGGGTTGTCTATAGGCCATTGTTCCTTGTGCCTCTTCTTGAGGGGGGGAGGGGGGGCCAGGTTTTGGCTCTGGTACCCAGCAGGCCTAAAACTCCATCGATTGACTGTTGTCACAATCTAATATATGCACATCAGCCTGGTATAGCTCCGGGAAGCCAAAGGAGCTTTTCACAGAAAATATTTTCGTATCTTCTGCTCCTCAGTCCATGCCAGATGATATTTCTGTTTCTATGATGTATGAATTCTCTCTCTTGTATGAATCTTCATGTGTTTTTTTATGCATGATTTCCGTGAAAATCCTTTTAGACACACTGAACAATGATTTGGGTTCTTCCCTGTATGAATCCTCAAGTGAACTATTAGATCTGATTTCTGTTTAAAGTCTTTTAGACAAACTGAACACTTAAATGGTTTCTCTCCTGTATGACTTCTCATGTGAACTATTAGAGATGATTTATTTTGAAAGTCTTTTACACAAACTGAACAATTATATGGTTTCTCCCCTGTATGACTACTCATGTGATACATTAGCTGTGATTTATATGAAAAGTCTTTTAGACACACTGAACAATGATATGGTTTCTCACCTGTATGAATCCTCAAGTGAACTATTAAAGCCGATTTGTGTGAAAAGTCTTTTAGACACACTGAACAATGATATGGTTTCTCACCTGTATGAATCCTCGAGTGAACTATTAGATCTGATTTCTGTGAAAAGTCTTTTAGACAAATTGAACACTTAAATGGTTTCTCCATTGTATGACTCGTCAAGTGATAGATTAGATTTGACTTCTGTTTAAAGTCTTTTAGACAAACTGCACACTTAAATGGTTTCTCCCCTGTATGACTTCTCATGTGATTGATTAGAATTGATTTCCGTGAAAAGTCTTTTAGACACTCTGAACATTGATATAGTTTCTCTCCTGTATGACTCCTCATGTGAACTGTTAGTTGAGATCTATGTGAAAAATCTTTTAGACACACTGAACAACGATACGGTTTTTCTCCTGTGTGACTCCTCATGTGAACTGTTAGTTGAGATTTCTGTTTAAAGTCTTTTAGACACTCTGAACAATGATATGGTTTCTCTCCTGTATGAATCCTCATGTGATCTATTAAAAGTGATTTCCTTGAAAAGTCTTTTAGACACACTGAACAATGATATAGTTTCTCTCCTGCATGACTCCTCATGTGAACTGTTAGTTGAGATCTATGTGAAAAATCTTTTAGACACACTGAACAATGATACGGTTTCTCTCCTGTGTGACTCCTCATGTGAACTGTTAGTTGAGATTTTTGTTTAAAGTCTTTTAGACACTCTGAACAATGATATGGTTTCTCACCTGTATGAATCCTCATGTGAACTATTAGATCTGATTTCTGTGGAAAGGCTTTTAGACAGTCTGAACAATGATATAGTTTCTCTCCTGTATGAATCCTCATGTGATTGATTAGATGTGACTTCCGTGAAAAATCTTTTAAACACTCTGAACAATGATATGGTTTCTCTCCTGTATGAATCCTTATGTGATCTATTAGAAGTGATTTCCTTGAAAAGTCTTTTACACACACTGAACAATGATATAGTTTCTCTCCTGTATGACTCCTCATGTGAACTGTTAGTTGAGATCTATGTGAAAAATCTTTTAGACACACTGAACAATGATACGGTTTCTCTCCTGTGTGACTCCTCATGTGAATTGTTAGTTGAGATTTCTGTTTAAAGTCTTTTAGACACTCTGAACAATGATATGGTTTCTCACCTGTATGAATCCTCATGTGAACTGTTAGATATGATTTGCTTGATAAGTGTTTTAGACACACCGAGCAGTGATATGGCTTCTCTTCGGAATAAGTGCTCATATTTAACGTTTGATATTTCTGAAAGTAGTTTTAGACAATGAATCTTCAATACTGATTTTGTTATTTATAAATACTTGTACTGTATGCTGTTATATGACGTATTTTTATAGTATTTCTGAACATTCAATACTGATGTTTTTCATATGAAGACACTTTTGTACAGTTTACTTGAATGCTAAGATCTGAAAAGTTCTTTGATGCAAAAACTTATTATTATTTATCTCCTGAATAAACACTTGTTTGCTTTATAAATATTACTGAAAAGTTTAAATAACATGTTTGTGATGTGTACAGTATTGATGATGTGGTTTTTTATCTGCATGAATTTCATATATTCATAAATCAAATGTTGTTAAGGATGCTAAACATTTGGATAGTGGGACACAAAACTTATGTGCTACAACCCTGACAGGCAGCACAGAGCAAACAAATTATAAAGTGTCATCTATGCTGTCAATAGATGGTAATGAAGATCAAATAAGCTTCTGGAAATATCCCATTCTCTTTGGCAGGAATTTAAAGCAAACAAATTGTTTGTCAAAACATAAAAGAGAATGGAAAATTGGACAATACAAAAGCCACTGGTGTTACTGATGCATAAATACTGAGAAAATATTGTGCTTATTATATAATAAAATATTCTAGCCTAAAAACATTCTGTACAACATTTCCCGAGAATTCGCGAGTGAAAAAGCTTACATAAAAATGCACTCTTCCACATGAAGCTAACAGCATAAAATTAGTGTATACATAGCTCTGTAAACATTCCAAACAAATCCTGTGGCAAGTTAATTTTTTGTTAACTTTTCATGATCTTACCTGATGATCTTACTTTACATGTCTTTTGCATCGCTTCTGAAGAAACACACATACTTTATTGCAATGAAGAATGTCTTATTATAAATACAGCCACAGCACATGGGTTAAATTCAATGAACCCTTAAGTGTAAATGTGTATGTGATTTTTACAAGAATATATGTATCGAAAGTACAATTTACGTTCTGTTATTTATTAATCCGCTATTCCTTGAAGTAAGAAAACACATTCTGATCATTAGGAACACTGATATCTTATTTGGATAGCCCTCACAAATGAGTAAGTAAAGTTGATGCAAAACTTAATAGACTAATAGCTCTAACATGCACATCATAGAAATCCTTGAAAGAGTGCTAAGATGATCACAAAATACATGAAATCACAGCATCTGCATAACCCTAGGCCACATGAGTTCAGAACAGGGTGTTCCTACCTCTCACAATTACTAGACCACTATAACAAGGCATTAGATGCCATGGAAGAAACAAAACGCTTATGTAATGTACACAGATTTCAACAAAGCTTTCGGAAATGAGACCATTGTGTTAATACACACAAAATGTGCACCAAAGGAATTACAGGGAAAGTAAGAGATGAATCTTTAACTTCCTAACAACCAGAACACAGTATAATAGTCAACAAAGGAAAATTTGAATCATCCACCATGAAAAACTCAGTTCCTCGATATACTGTGATTGCTCCGATACTTTTCCTTATCCTTATATCATAGACAAGGATACAATCTATGGTACTTTATCATCCTTTGCAGATGACACTAGAATTTTTATTCGAGTTGACAATATAGATATACAGCAAACCTCCAATCCAATGTTAATAAAATCTTTCAATGGGTCACAGAAAATAACATGATGTTTAATGAGGATAAGTTCCAATTAGCGTACTATGGAAAAAATTTAAAACATCAAAGAGGCCACATACAAAACACAGCCAAACCAGACTATTGAAAGAAAAGACATTACTAAAGACTACCGGTTGATCATACCAGGGAACAGTGATCCACTTATCTTAATCAGGTACTCAACAGGTAAGCAGCCCTAAGAGCTTCAAGAGTAAATTACGTGTCCAAGATAAGAATCAATATTTACTATACAGTACTGGGTACTGTGAATAGATTTTTTTGTTTAAGAATTCCCTGCCAACAATTAAAATAGCACATACAGTAGAAAAGTGTGTTTAGTTTTAAAATGAAAAATATTTATATTAAATTTTAGTACAGTAACAAAAACAGAAAAATTTATCTTGTTAAAATATTTAATTTACATAACCTTAATAGTTTCTCAGAAAATAAAACTATTAAATATTAAAAACATCTATTACACTAAAACACAATATATAATGAGATTATAAAATCAATTATACCATAGACCACATTTACCTTTACAAATACATTTGTATTTAAAAACATATTTACATTGTCACCATAATGCATGAAATGTTGGATGTACAGTGTACATTATATATCATACATTGCATGTACGGTGATTCAGATGAAAGTGATATGTAATATTATATTTCCCATCAGATTTAAGTGTGCTTGCTGCAGAGTGATAAGGCAGCACACATTATTTGAAGGAGCCAAATAAACATTCATTCACAGGATGTTGAGAAAATTAATGTAATAATCAGGATGTTGAAATGGGCTCAATCAAAGTCTTACCCTTGTGCATGTGGTACTTCTGACACTGTAACGAGTTTCATGATACTGCTGATGACACCATGTACACAGTATTTCTGACACATGAGCTCTAATGGTCTTGGCACAGCAAGTGTAATTTTTCTTCTGACCTAAGGACCTGCAAAAGAAAAGATTGAGTGATTATCAGGTTTTTATTTAAACCTTATAGAGTGCAAATTAAATATATACAGTAGAACCTCGAGTGACGAACGCCTCAAATGGCAAGCATTTTGGGTAACGAGCGCCCCGATTGCCGACAATTCGTCTTGTTTGGTGTGCACTCGTTTGGATAATGACAACACCACATGGTGGGGTTGCGCTGCTTCTCACACATTCTTGGATGCCTCCGACGATGCAAATGAAGTATATTTTTTTTTTGTTTAAAGATGCTAATGATGTTGGGATGTAAAGGGGGTAACTGCTGTGATGTTGCAAAGCACTGACTTTTTTGTAGAAAAAAGAAGTGAAATTAAAAAAAAAAAAAAAAAAAAAAAAAAAAATGTCAAAAAGATTTGTTTGGTGTTCGGCAGGTAGGCTGCTTCATGTTTCCTAAAAAAAAAAAAAAAAAAAAAAAGTAGGGTAAACAATTTGAAAAACAGATAAATGCCATAAAGGTTCATTCAGTGTTTGGCAGGTAGGCTGCTCCATTATTGATAAATAAATGAAAAATACAAAACAAATTGAACACATTTGAAACAAAGAAAGATTGTCGTAATGGAGCCTCGTATCCGCCAAACACAGTACGAACCTTAACCCCTTAACTGCGTTGCCCCCAAATGTGACACCCCCGCAGTGCACAGGAAATAAATTCTCTGGAAAAAATTCTTTTTTCTTTTTAAAGTGTCAAAAACCCTTCCCTCAGTATGGGTAAGTCGAAATTGTACTTACTTTGGCTGCTATGGGGTCCGGAAGTTGGGGCGTGACGTCATCATTCCCTGTGCGCCCGTGCCATAAGCTCTCGGGGGCGGTGGGGCGCTCGGGGCGGGGTGCGCAAATTGCCGCGAATATATTTTCGTTCATTTTTTGCGCACCTTTCCAAATACATTTTCATTATTTTTATGTGCCAATCCAATGTATAATGAACACGTACACTATAATATCGCAGTACAACATCCGTACTGTCCGTAGACACTGTGTTACGTGCATGAAACTTGTGTACACATATGCAGCACATATTTACTATGTATCATGCTAATTTGTGTATACTGTATATACAATCTATTTACACACTATACACTGTCACACACTATATACATTCACCATCAAAACGTTCAGAACACAGCGAGTGAGAGCTGCCATACCCAGCCAGCCCTCCCTCACTTCTCCAACATTGTATTCGCCAACTTTGCCCCTCCCATCATACAGTTATTCACACCAATGTTTCATGTTCATTTATGTATATTTACAACATATGTACTCACTATACACTGTCACACACTATATACATTTACCATCAACACATTCAGAACATCGCGTAGCAGCTGCTTCGTATGGGCCAATAGCAGCTGCTTCGTATGGGCCGATAGCAGCTGCCTCGTATGGGCCGATAGCAGCTGCCTCGTATGGGCCGATAGCAGCTGCCTCGTATGGGCCGATAGCAGCTGCCTCGTATGGGCCGATAGCAGCTGCATCGTATGGGCCGATAGCTGCCTCGTATGGGCCAATAGCAGCTGCCCCGTATGGGCCAATAGCAGCTGCCCCGTATGGGCCAATAGCAGCTGCCGCGTATGGGCCAATAGCAGCTGCCTCGTATGGGCCAATAGCAGCTGCCTCGTATGGGCCAATAGCAGCTGCCTCGTATGGGCCAATAGCAGCTGCCTCGTATGGGCCAATAGCAGCTGCCTCGTATGGGCCAATAGCAGCTGCCTCGTATGGGCCAATAGCAGCTGCCTCGTATGGACCAATAGCAGCTGCCTCGTATGGGCCAATAGCAGCTGCCTCGTATGGGCCAATAGCAGCTGCCTCGTATGGGCCAATAGGAGCATTTGGCCATGAACACATTCAGACACCTCGAGTGAGAGCAGCCACACCCAGCCAGTCTCCCTCACTCCAACATCTTACTCGCCAACATTGCTCCTCCCACTATATTGCTATAGTTCTTATTACACATGTTCTATATACCTATCTACATGTTTTATTTACCAGAACTATGCAAGTAGGCCGGTATTATGTCCAAACAGTACAGTGGCCACCATACACTGCATGAAAAATCACACAGCAGACGACGCTATGATTACGTCACCTCCCTCACCTAAATAGCTCCTCTCAACATTCTCCTGTTGCTGTTCTTACACTATATACACACACTATATATACCCATGTACATATGTGTTGCCCATAGCGAACCACTAAGCTAGTATGGTGAGCAAAACAAGAGTGGCAGCCACACACACACACAATGAGGCTACCTCAATTCTTGCCCTCCCTCCCTCATCAAAATTCCTCCTTCCACAATACTACCCACAACACTAATTATAACCACAATCCTGCTATTATCACAATCCTGGTCACTAATTCCTGTAAATGAATAATTGACCAAACGTTTATTTTGAAAAGGAACCTAAGAAATCATTTGAAGATTCCTAGATGAACGAAATAATGCTGTGGTGCTGTGGCTAGCGCTGTGAACATCGTGAACAGCATTGAATCACTGATATTTGAACATTGTACCCAGTCATTATCACACTCGGGCTCTAATATAACACTATCATAGCTAAATAATACAAGTTATATATATATTTTGACATTATTAGGCGATGCTGTGGTCACATGCTGAACAGCAGTGCTGTGCGCTCATGCTGCGAGCGCCAGCCTTGGTTGCTCACACACTACTGAGGCTCCCACACCCGGGAATGTGGACCACGATTTTTTTTAAAGATGGCGTCTGTTTACAAGAGCCCTGAGGAAGCTGATGTGAACCCCATGTAGCCGCAAGAGTTTTGAATGGAACGTGAAAAATACAAATACCCGGAGGCGCGTTGCGCAAACCAGACGTGAGCCTGCAGGCGCGTTGCGCAGTTTAAGGGTTAATGGCATTTGTCCATTTTTCTAATTGTTTTTTTTTTTTTTTTTTTTTTTTTTTAGGAAACATAGAGCAGCCTACCTGCTGAACACCGAACAAACCTTTTGCGATAACAAATATGAAAGACCAGGGCTGCTGGCTGGGTTAGAACTGAGTGAGCAACCATTTGTGGCACATGTGCCTCTGGTTCCCAAACACCTGTCTGACATGGTGTTAAAAGATTGCGCTCTGTCAGTGAAATTCAGACCTTATTGTTTGAAGAACATAAGGGTCATGATATTGGTGAAGCTAGGCGCAATAAGGACCTAACACAATGGTCGGATGCAAGTGATACAGCATCTATGAAGACGATACAGTGAGCATATCCAGTTGTAGCTTTGAGCGCCACCCTTGACCAGCTATGCTATCTCCAATTTATATAAATGATACATAGATGAATCGTTTTCTGCGTTCAGTGATGATGCATCTGATACAAGTAGCACAGATGAACAGTTTTAGCAGCTTCCATAGTGGTGTTTTCCATAGATATTTTCAAGATTAGCTGAATCTCTTCTTGAATGACGGACACTCTTTGAGGGTGGCTGAATCTCCTCCAGAATGCCAGAATCTCTTCCTGACTGATGGACACTCTTTGAGGCTTGCTGAATCTCTTCCTGTGTGGGACCTTACAAAGCGATCTTTTCACGACTACCTTACAAATTGATCTTTTCCTATAATCTTTTCAAGATTACCTTATGCTTTACAAGCTTGGATACATGCCACCTACAGGTACTAATGCCTAGGGTGTACGTGAGTGCGTTATTTGCAAGCACACAGAATGAAGAAACATGAAGCGAAAATCTATCTGTACCTGGTGCAACGAGAGCGAAGTCACAGGGAATTTCACAATAAACTCGGCGCAGCACGGTGGTTAAAAAGATCAATGCAACAGCCTACTACAGCTTTATCTGGGTGATTCTTTTCAGTAAACTTTGCAGTCCTTCCCATACTGCACACATTTGTTGAATTAATGAGGAAGGGTCATTCTCTACTGCCTCCTCTTCCTCCCCTGAAGATTTGTTGTACTGTATTGCCTAGCTAGTTCAACAACACGAGTACCATTTTCATGCTTCCGAATGATCTCTTGTCTTTCCTCTATTGTCATCCTCACATGCGATTTCTTGACTTGAACCTTACCACTGGCTTTCTTGGGACCCATGGCAAGATATATAATAACTTTTATGCTCAAATGGCCAAATATACCTGGTTGATGGGGTTCTGGGAGTTCTTCTACTCCCCAAGCCCGGCCCGAGGCCAGACTTGACTTGTGAGAGTTTGGTCCACTAGGCTGTTGCTTGGAGCAGCCCACAGGCCCACATACCAACCACAGCAAGGTTGGTCCGGCACTCCTTGGAGGAAACAATCTAGTTTCCTCTTGAAGATGTACACGGTTGTTCTGGCAATATTTCTTATGCTCACTGGGAGGGTGTTGAACAACTGCGGACCTCTGATGTTTATACAGTACAGTGTTCTCTGATTGTACCTATGGCACCCCTGCTCTTCACTGGTTCTATTCTGTATTTTCTTCCATAACGTTCACTCCAGTACACTGTTATTTTACTGTGTAGATTTGGTACTTGGCCCTCCAGTATCTTCCACGTGTATATTATTTGATATCTCTCTCGTCTTCTTTCTAGTGAGTACATTTGGAGGGCTTTGAGACGATCCCAATAATTTAGGTGCTTTATCGCGTCTATGCATGCCGTATATGTTCTCTGTATTCCCTCTATTTCAGCAATCTCTCCTGCTCTGAAGGGGGAAGTGAGTACTGAGCAGTACTCAAAGCGGGACAACCCAAGTGACTTGAAGAGTACAACCATTGTGATGGGATCCCTGGATTTGAAAATTCTCGTAATCCATCCGATCATTTTACTGGCTGGCGCAATATTTGCTTGGTTATGCTCCCTAAACGTTAGGTCATCAGACATCATTATTCCCAAATCCTTTACATGCTGTTTTCCTACTATGGGCACATTTGATTGCGTTTTGTACCCTGTACAGTATTATGTTCAAGGTCCTCATTTTTACCGTACCTGAGTACCTGGAATTTATCACTG